ATGTACAGATGCAACAATCCTGCATGATCTGCACATGTACCCAGAACCTAAAGTACAATTAAAAGTTTTTCATTTTCTTTTAAAATATCTACCTTTTCTATTTTAACGTAATTTATATCTATTTAAAAATTTGAAAACTATTGAGGGAACACACACAAAAAAATTCTAAATTGTATCAAGTGTGGTTGCTATTGACTGATGAGATAGCCTATTTATTTTTATCTATTAAGACGTGTGTTTATGAGTATATTTATGATGTTTGTGTATATACACACATATGCAAGTATATTATGTATTTAATATAGAGGTATATAAATAAATTCAGATTGATATTTACTGTAGTCACTTTTTTAAAGTTAACTTTTTATGTTGATATAATTTTAAACTTATATATAGTTTTCAAGTTTGGCACAAGGAACTCCAGTGTACCTTCTATTCGGATTTAACAGTTACTTTAAATTATTCCTATTAGTGCTCAGCATTTTATAACTTGCTGTTTTACTAGCAAGGATATCATATTTTCTAGAATTTACTAAATGCGATTGTACTGCATGATTCTAATGATGATGATGGGGATGATGTTAAAAATGATGGTGATTGCTAAATAGTTAATGGGCATTTTTTATGTGTCAGGCAATGTTCTAATTGTTTTACATATAATATTTCAATCCTTAAAATAACTAGGAGGTATATACTCTTATTGCTCCATGTTAAGAAAGCACAAACCAAACACAAAGAAGTGAAGCATCACAAACTGGTAAGTGAAAAAGCAAGGAATTGGTTAGGGAAAAAACCTCAACCCTTATAGCAGAGGCACTGAAAGTATTACATTTGGTCAGAGCAAGACAGGTCATTACTCACAGCACAGCAACAGCAGAAGAATCCGTGTAGTAGTGCTAGTTCTCCTGACCCTAAATATCATGGGATGATGCAATGGCCTGGTTGGGCTGCAACCCAGGGCTAAGGGCTTAGTATCTTTTATAATATGCAATAAACAAGCCCCTCCTGAGCTGTCACGTGGGTATGCTGTGGTTGACTTGACATACTTAACTGTGTAGGAGTCTATCTGCAGAAACATCATCAGGCTAGAGGAGATTAGGCCTTGTAACTTGACACACTGAGCAAAGTTGTGCAGGAAAGCTGTGGGCTGTGGCAGACTGCCTTTCTCAACCAATATGTAGTCAGATAAATTGATCCACATGATTGATTATATTATGACACCTTTGATCTCATTTAAAAAGCTTACTATAAATTATTTGATTAGTTCTATTGTTTGGTCTATAAAAGATATTTCTATTTTTCTTTTTCTTTAGGTAACTTAAAGTCTTATTTGTTTTTAATTTTTGTCTTAAAGAAAAAAGTTAGCATTTTATAAACCTTATAGTATAAATGGTCTGTATCTTAAGTCCCAATTTTCCCCTGGGTTTTCTTGTTTTAATTATGTATTGATCAATTATAGTTGTATATATTTAAAGGCCATAATGTTATGATTTTTTAAATGATGTGACATGATTAAATTAAGCTCATCAACATATTTATCACCTCAAATAAACATTTTTTTATAATGAGGCCACTTGGAATTTATTCTCTTAGTGAATGATAGAAATATATACAGTTTTTAACTATTAGGGATCTTCACTGTGTTATGCAGTAGATCTCAAAAAATAAATTAGATATTCTTCTTACCTAAGTGAGACTTCATACCCTTTTACTATCTCCCCATTTCCTCTACACATCAGCCTCTGGTAACCACCATTCTACTCTCTGTTTCTATGAGTTCAATTATTTTAGTTTCCACATATAAAGGAAAAAATGTAGTATTTGTTTTCCTGTGTTGGACCTATTTTACTTAGCATAATGTTGTCCAAGTTAATTAATATCACAATTGACTGAATTTCTTTCCTTTTTAAGGCTGAATCATAATCCAGTGTGTTTATGTACCACATTTTCTTTATCTGTTCATCCACTGATGGACGCCAAGGTTGATTTCATAACTTAACTATCACAAAAGTGCTGCAATCAATGTGAGAGCACAGATACTTCTTCAACATACTGATTTCACATATTTTGAGAAAATACGTAGAAGTTAGATTGTTGAATTATATGATGATTTTATTTTTAGTTTTTTGAAGAACCTGCAAACTGTTTTCCATAATTGCTCTACCAATTTACATTGTCACCAATACTTTACAAGCGTTCTGTTTTCCCCACATTCTCACCAATACTTATTTTTCATATTTTTGAAAATAGCCATTCTAACAGGTGTAAGGTGATATCTCATTGTGGTTTTAATTTGCATCTTTCTAATGATTAGTGATGTTGTGAACTTTTTTCATATATCTGTTAGCCATTTGTATGCGGTCTTCTGAGAAATGTCTGTACAGATTCCTTGCCCTTAATCAGATTGTTTTCTTTCTATAGAGTTCCTTATATATTTTGAATATTAATCCCTAAACAAATGTATGACTTGCTAATATTTTGTTTCAGTCCATAGGTTGTCTTTCAATTCTATCAATTTTTTTTTCCTTTCTTCACAGAAGGTTTTATTCTGATGTAATCTCATTTGTCTATTTTTGTTTTTGTTGCCTGTGCTTTTGAAGTAAAATCTAAAAAATCTTTGCCCAGACCAATGTTGTATAGTTTTTCTCCTGTGTTTTCTTCTTGCAGTTTTACAGTTTGAGGTCTTATGCTTAAGTTTTTGATACATTCTGAGCTTATTTTTATATGTGGTGTGAGATAAAAATCACTTTCATTTTTGTACATGTGAATGTCCACTTTTCCTAACAGCATTTATTGAAGAGTCTGTCCTGTTCCCTTTGCATATGCTTTGCACCTTGTCAAAAATGAATTGACTATAATTGTATGGGTTCATTTCTGGGCTCTTCATTCTGTTTTCACTGGTCAGTGTGTCTATTTTTGTACCAGTGCCATGCTGTTTTGATTACTACACTTTGTAATATAGTTTGAAATCGGGCAGTGTGATGTCTCCAGCTTTGTTCTTTTTGGTCATAATTGCTTTGGCTATTTGAGACTTTTTTTGGATCCATATGAATTTCACAATTGTTTTTTCTGCATCTCTGAAAAATGACATTGGAATTTTGTTAAGCATTATATTAAGTCTATAGATTGCATTGAATAGTGTGAACATTTTAACAATATTAATTCTTCCAGTCCATAAGCATGAAATATCTTTCCATTTATTTTTGTCTTTTCTGTTTCTTTAATTAATGTTTTATAGTTTTCAATGTACAGGTCTTTCATCTCCTTGGTTACATTTATATCTAAGTATTTAAGTTTTTGTAGCTGTTGTAAATGGGATTGTTCTCTTGATTACTTTTTTGGAAAGTTGTTTTCAGTGTAGAAAAATGCTACTGATTTTTGTGTGTTAATTTTGTATCCTGCAACTTTACCAAACTTGATATTAGTTATAACAGTTTTTGGTTATAGTCTTTAGCTTTTTCTGTATATAAGACCATTCCATCAGCAAGTAGCAATGGTTTTACTTCTTTTTTTATTTGAGTTTTACTTTATTTTATTTTTATTTCTTTCTCTTGTTTTATTGCTCTAAGAAGGACTTCCATTGCAATGCTAAATAAAAGTAGCAAGAGGTGGCATTTTGTAGATAGTTTGTTTCTTCCTCTCTTGCTGCCTGCCTTTGTGGTTTGATAATTTTCTGTAGTTGAATTTTTGAATCTTTTTTATTTTTTGTGTGTCTCCAATAGATTTTTTTTTGTTTTTGTTTACCATGATGCTTACATGGAACATCTTCCTCTTATAACTGTCTATTTCAAGCTGAGAGTGAGGAATTTTGCATACAATAAATCTATACTTTTACTTCCCTACACACACAATTTTCATTTTTAGTATCTGAATTTATATCATTTTATGGTATGTATTCCTCAACAATTTATTTCAATCCAGTAGTTATTGTTTTTGTCCTTTAACCCTGTACTGGGAATAAAATTACTTTACATACCAACATTACAGTCCTAGAGTATTCTGATTATTGCTCTGTATTACTCAGGCCATTGGTATTACTTGTGCATTTATAACTTTTATGTTATTTATTAGAAGTCTTTTGTTTCAGTTTAAAGAACTGAATTCTTTAAACAATTAGCAGTTCCTTTAGCAATTCCTGTAAGGCAGGCCTAATGGTGATAAACTCCCCTAACTTTTGTTTACCTAAGAATGTTTTTATTTCTTCCTCATTTCTTTTTTCTTTCATTTTTTTTAATGTTTGTTACAACTTTATTCACCAGAACCAAAACACCTGGAAACAATTCAGCCATCCTTCAATTGACAGATGGTTAAACTAACCAATACATCCACAACATGGAGTACTACTCAGCAATACAAGACATAAACTATTGATACATGCAGCAAATTGCATGCATTTTCAGGGAGTTATGCTGAGTGAAAAAAGCCAATCCCTAAAGCTTGCACATTATAGGATTCTTCTTATATATCTTTCTTAAAATGACATAATTATAAAAATATAATAGGTTAATAGTGTCTGGGGTAGGGAATGGAAGAGGGGAGAGAAGTAGGCAGAAAGGTGGACAACACAAGGGATCTTTCTGGAGGTGGAAATTTTCTGTATCTTTACTGTATAAATGTCATTATCCTGGTTTTGATATTATGCACATCTTGTAAATACCTTGTTTTGTAAGATGCTACCATTGTCTCCATCATTTCCAAAATACTGCTTTGCTAGGTAAAGTATTCTTGATTGACAATTTTTTTTTTTTTTTCATTCAGCATTTTGAATATTTCATCTCATTCTTTCCTTCCTTGCAAGGTCTCTACTGAGAAGTCCACTGATAGTGGCATTAAAAAACCATTGAATGTAATGTATTTCTTATCTCTTGCTGCTCTCAAAATTGTTTGTCTTTTATTTTTGATAATTTGATTATTATTTGTCTTGGCGAGTTCTTTGGTGCCTCACCAAGACAAATAATAATCAAATTATCAAAAATAAAAGACAAACAATTTCCAAACTGAAAAATGTGGAAATCTTCACAAATTTTCATGTCATCTTTGTTCAGGGACTATGTTAATATTCTGTCATTACAATTTTAGTACAAATGCTCATTGACTTACAATACAGTTACTTTCCAAAAAACTTATCATAGGTAGGAAGTATTATGTTGAAATATGCATCTGACTGAAAGCAATGGCTGGCTACTGAATTTAGGCATGGTGAAATAAGTATGGTTTCTCCCAAATGTTTATCACTTTTGCACTATTGTAAAGTTGAAAAACCACAAGATAAACCATCATAAATAGAAGATTCTCTGTATATGTGCTGCTAAAGTGAGCACTCTATTTTCTTTAACCAGAGAAAGTTATTATAAACATTCTTCACATACATATTTTTTCATATCTCTGGTTATTTACTTCAAGTAAATTTCTTGAACTAGAATTATTGCCTCAAAGACATTACATATTTTAAGTATTCTTTTTGCCATATTGTCAATTGCATCCCTGAAATATTTCATGAGGCAATTCTTCCAGCAGCATTTTCTACAAATAATATTATTGTCTCCTTTTCAATATTTATGTTTCAATATCACTGCTTAGCCTTCTTTCGACTTACTGAATTGACAAGAAAGTTCAGTGCATTGGTATTGGGAACATGTATACAAGCAAAAATCTATTTCTAATGAAAATTCTATGTTTCACATTATTTGTTGGCCACCCAAATAATAAGCCTTGTTAAAAACCAAATCTATTTGCTCATGTGTTTTGTCTTTTCCAAGGATCAGAATTTGATGAATATATGGAGGGGTTGTTAAAGTTTGTATTTTATAAGACAATAAAAATATCTTCTATGCAACAAAAAATGCATATAGCAATACTAGTGGTTTAATTTTTATTTTATAATTATGGATTCTGAGCAACATGTACTGATACACACTTCCATTTTCTTCTTATAATAAAATTAATAAAAATTATCAGAAAGTATAGACATAGGAGCCGTTTTTAAATGTTTAATTTTCATGTTTCTTCTTCCAGTTTTCACTGACTGACTGACTTCTGTATCCTTCCCATTTTTATTCCACAGTATTTTAGTCCTCTGTCAGTCAGCTCCAGATGTTTTCTTGCAACTGTAATTTGCATAAGATTTCTAGTCTTTGCCTGTGCCTTTGCTCAGCACTCATTTGAATTTGAGCTTTTATAATGCCTTACCACGAAGCTTTTACTTCTCTCTAAAATACTCTGTAAAATGCTTGCTCTTGATTACTTATACCCTGAGAACAGCTTTGCTCTCTGTGAGGTAGCAAAGCTCTAAATGTTTCTCTATTCTCATTACTCTATGCGTTTGCTGCCTCTGGCCTTTTGTGTTTTGAACTTCCTGTGGCCTGTGGCTGCTATGAGAAGGTGAAAGCTATAGAGTGGCTAAAATGATTAGTGAAGGGCCAGCCTAAGAGGGTATTGATCTGTTTCCCCATGAAAAACAATCATAATGTTTCTTTATTTTCAGAATTAATTTTTGTAACAATTTAAAATTTTAAAACTCAGAGATAAAATAGAATTGTATAAATAGTATAGTTTATTTAATATGCCTTTTCACTGTGTCTCATCATATGGGTGATACCAAAATATTCTTCTTCTGAGATACATTTGGGATCTAAGTGCCGGCATGTTGTAATCTGAGGGAGAGAGAGGCTTACCAGTTAATGTCATAGACTTTTGAGGTGTTCTATCCAGGAGAATGAGCAGTTAAGAATTCTAGCTGGCACAGGTTCTGCCTACTGATATAACTTCTATATTTGATGTCCTTCAGAGATATCCTGAAGGGAACATTGGGGAGGATTCTCGTAATAACCCTGTTTATAATGCATAGAAATCCAGTCTGGCTCTGCCAGCATCTTTTGTAGTCCTGACTTAAGTAAACAAACAAACAAAACTCTTAGTTTAGCTGAGTTTCCAATATTGGTTTGAATCATTTATGTTCTTTTGTTCAGGTTGAGAGTTTTATTTCAAAACACTTTTGGTCTTATTTTTTGATGTCAACATTCCTCTAGACTTCAGTAAAACCTTTGTTTATATTGTTTGGTTTTAGGAAGCTCTGTTTGTAGTAAGCCAAGCCAGATAACTTGTTGTATCATGGTGCTTCATGGACTTGGTTTATTATTTTTATCCATGGCTTATCCTGGAATACTGACTCCATTGTTATCTACTTAATGGCTGTAGCCTTAAGGACCAGAAAAAACACACTGATCAGCAGAGCACAATTTCTTAACCTGCTCATGTGTATTAAGCCTAAATCATAAAATCTAGATTGTTTTTAAGGTATTTGCAAATGTGTAAAGTTGGAGCTATGGTATGGCACATGGTAGAAGACCATTCTCTAGCTCATGAAGGAGCCCAGGGATAATTATTTCTTTCTATTATCTTAGTTAGTTGCACATACCCCATTACAAATATTAGTATATAATAAGGACATCAGCCTAATTTGGAGATTTGGAGATTTCTTGTGTTAAATCTTAAAGATACTCTGATATCTTTAAGTGGGCGATGACATCCTTTTAAACTTTGCTTTTTATGAAATAGCCATAGATAACAATGGTAGCTGAACTATTTTGTTATTGACAAACCAAACTGCTATTTTTATATTCCTTGATAGAGGAATCATCATTGCCCCCCAACCCAGAACTCAATTTATCCAGTTAAATGGTTTTATTTGGAACTGTTAATTATAATGTCATTTCTTATGCTAATTTCTGTTGCCTTTAAGGCTATTTTGATGGCAAATAACTGAAACCCACTCAAAGCAGCTTAAGTAAAGGAGGAGAAATTATTATAAATGTATTGTAATATCTCATGGAAGCCTAAAGCAGAAAGTATGTTAGGCTTTAGGAAGGACATAAAACAGGAATCTAAACAGCCATACTTTTTAGTTTCTACTAAGACAGCCTCTTACCTTCTTATGTCTGTTTTATTGATTTTTTTCTATGAATTAGAATTCTATTTAGCCACAATGCAAGTTCTCGTATTACATATCTTCAGCTACAAGATCAGTGTCTCAATTACAGGCAACAGGGCAGAGAATCTGATTGGTCTAGGTGAGTTTGTTATGCATTCATATTCAATCAGCTCTGTCTGTGAGATAGGGCCATCTAGGACAGAGAGAACTGTATAACCATAGGGACCCAAGAGGGCAGAATTTAGAATAGGAGATCATGGTCTGCTAGACATCCAAATAATTATCTACCAAATTTTCCACTGATCGAAACGTAAATACCAAGGAACTGCACTAAATAACATCTCAGTTAAAAAAGCTCAGAGAGTTTGATAATCTTATCCAGATTACCATGTAGGGTGCAATTGATTTTGAGGATAACTTTGGAATTTTGAACTCAAAATAGATGTATTATTTCAATTTTATTCTCTAATGTCTGCATAATGACCACATGGGTTTAGCTTTGTCTCAAAATTTAAATTAATTTTTAGGCTCATGTCTGAGTAGCTTTGTCTTTTCTGGTTTATTTTATTTCATTCTTTTTTGGCTGGATTTCATTGGCTAGTAGTTTTATGAACAAAGCTCATGGATACTGTAATCCTGTCTACTTGGGTGTGTTTGCTTTTATTTTTTTAATAGTTGAAGAGTGACTTGGCCTGACAGAATCCTTTACTCCTACCATATTTTCCTCAGAACTCTGGAGACTGTGCTCTGTTTTCTACCTGCCTGTAGTGTTGCTGTAGAGAATTTTGACACAGTCTGATTATTATTATTTTTTTTGCTTGGAGACTGCTTTCCCTACCTTAAGTTCCATGTGATTTTTTTCCTTCTCGTGAAAGTTGCATAAATTCATCAGGATATAACTTGGGATTGATTATATTTGCCAGTGGTTCTTAGGACATGATATGCTAATATTTCAGGGAGGTTATCTTATAAAATACATTTGAAAACTTTGATGAGTTCTCTTTTTCAGTAATAGCAAATAAGCATATTTTGAATCTTCTTTGCTATCATTTTCTAGATAAAGTCTGTCTATTTGACCCTAAAACTTCATTACACATTTTATTTAATTTTATTTTACCAAACTATTATGTCTTTTCTTGGATTTTAGTCATGTTAATTTAAGTTGATAACTACCTGGTTTTTTTCTTGATGATTCTGTGTTGCTATTTTCTTTCTTTTTAAAAAAAAAATTTTAATTTTACTTTACGTTCTGGGGTACATGTGCAAAATATGGAGATTTGTTACATAGGTATATACATGCCATGGTGGTTTGCTGCTCTTGTCTTTCTTAACTGAGTTCTGCTAGCTTATGTTTCACTTTCTGTCTTCATGTAACCGTCAGAGGATCCTTTGGGTATTGCTTTACCAGCCAGAAAACCTCTGTGGCTGGCAGTGCCTCTGCTTGAGTTTTGCTCATGCCTGTTGGACTCATTCTGCCCACTCAGCCTGGCAGGCTGAACTTGGCTTGTGCTACCAGCCTGGATCATATGTCTGCCAAGGGTGAGCCAGGTGTGGAGTGGCAAGGGGTGTGTGAGCAAGTGAGTCCAGGGTCTGGCCATTGCACAAAACCAGGCATGCCAGCTGCAGTGGCAAGGCAGGCAGTCCCAGGCACTGGCACAGGTGCCAGCTGCATGTGAGGCTACAGCTGGGCCAGATCGCAAGCAGCTTCTGCTGGGTGCACCACTGTCTGGACAAGGTGAATGCAGTGGCACCTGAAAGCTAGGTGCCAACAACTGCAGAACTCCAAAGAGGGTGTTATAGTATGTCACAGACCTGGCCTGGGGAGCTCCTAGTTCTGGGCTCCCAGCAGGGCTGCAGCTCTTCTCTGCTTCTCATCACCTGTGGCACAGTGAGTTGGGGAGGGATGTTTTGGGGGGATGTGTTTCAGCGCATCTGTGTTAAGCTCTTTCAGTTCGGCCACGCAACTCTAGCCTGCGGCTTCAGCGCTGGACTGGCCCCCCCACTGCTTTCTGTCATGTGAGGCCTTCACCCTGTGCTGGCAGAGGGCAGGACGGCTGTAGTGTCATAGCCCCTTTAGCTCCTGCCCACAGCTTGGCAAGCAAGCCAGGGAGGTGTTACAGCTCCTTTCGCTCTGCCCTTTGGTGGGTCCCGAGTTCTTCTCCTGCATGCAGG